TCGGATCTTAAAATAGATCCCATTAAGGATTTCCTTACAAGAATTAACGAAAAAATTTTCAATAGAATTGCCAACAACAATTCTGCTAACTATGCGGATATTATTACGTACGAAATTCTGGAGGAAGACAAGTTTTTCTGTCCATTCGGGGGGGGGGGCTGCTCATTCCCTTCGCTCCGGCCATCAGGACTAAGACAGCCAATAAGTAAGCAACGCTTCTGTGTATGCATTACCTCTAGTTGACACTTCTGTCAAATCAATGAACCTTTAGAGACTCTCTTGTGACTCCATCTTATGGAACACAATTTTGTGAACATTCTAAGTGGTCATTTTACCAACTTTGCATTTATCTTTTATATTTTATCACAATCTTAGTGTACTTTGCAACTATGTCTTCTACAGCCGATACCGCAAGTTGATTGGTCTAGCAGCCACGGATATACGATTGTCCGCAAGCCTCAATTTAATGTGTCTTGTCCTTATAGGAACAAAACTTACTGTAAACAATGTACATATTCTCAATTTTCTGTATGTTACACATTTCACACCTTTCTGTAGTAATTGGCAAGCTCCCCTTCCACATCACTTCTGATTTGTCAACGATGTTCCTGTGGAGAAGCTTACACTAGCTATCTGCTCTTCAATTAAGAGGCAAAGTTCTTCATATTTTTCTTCTCTTCTACATCTCATCTGGAGATTATCTCACTGCGAAAATCACAAAAGCCAGACCCTATTTGGGATCACTGATAAAACTGGAAAGAGCAAGGAGGATAACATCGGGCTGAATGCCAGTATATAACAAAGTATCAACTAATGAATCCTTTGATATAGTACTTAGACAGATATGTAATGGGTAAAAGGTATCCATTCAATATACAGTCTAGTAACAATACAGGTGGAACGGATAAAATATTTTAGTTCGGTATTAAGTGTTAACTGTATTTAATAATATTCAACCATTTCAAAGTCTTTTATTCATTTAAACCAGAAGTATTCGTCTTTTAACAACAATCAGTAAAATCTTATCTATTGCTTAATGGTAGGGCTTAATAAGTACAGCCTCTCGTTAACCTTCGAAAGGCTCATTTTCTATTTAATCATATATAACACTACGACGTATTTGCGAACTTAGAAGCCATCTTTTCTAACTGTATTGACCTTTTTAATGCTAGTACACTTCTGATAACAGTAAACTATATTGACTAAGAGAGCAAACCTAACGCAGAGGTTAATCTGAAGTACAATTCAAGGAAATTGATCATTAATTCAATTGCGAAATTTGTTACATCTTGTGTATTAATATGTATATGATGAGAAAAGACATTAAAAATTTAATTTCCAACCTTACACAATACTTAGAACTATTCGATTCTTAAAGATTCCATTTCTGACTTTCATTTTTGGGAAGCATATCTTGTCAATATGGTTTGAAATATATCGGCCAAACTAAAACAGCGTTAACGTTTCGCATCTAGAAACAGGAATCTTATGTGCGAAAAGGCAAAATGAACACGTCTTCGACAGCTAATCATAGTTGGAATTTTAATCACAATTTGACTTGGGTGAGCAAAAATTATTCAGAAACCTTCTTTCATTGGTGAATGGGGATTTTCTTGAAGATTTTCACATTCACAATCATTTAGCTTGTTTAGTTAGTGACTTTAATTCAAATCCCACCCTTGCTAACACTTTTCTATACGTAAGTTTACAATTTTCATTACTATTTCTGTCAACAGATGGCACTACCTCCTCGTTCGTTTTACTCCTTTTGCGTATAAATAAAACCGTGGGTTTTCCTTCGCTGCAGATTCTTTTGCTACTGATGACGAGGGACCTTACCTGTTTGCTCTCGAAATTGATAGAGTCTTGACAAAAATCTACGCCAAATACAAGGTTGTTGCTTTGCCTAATTTTATGACTTAGAACTAATTTCCTTTTAATTTAAATGAAAAAGTACCTGAATATACACTGAGAATTGAAATTATACGAGAGTTGCAAATGAATATTACTGCAGATAATTTCACGATACTTGAAAAAGCCAACTTTTCAAAGTTCCAGAATAGAAACAATAAAAATATATTTTTAGAGAAAAGCTGCAGAAGACAAAAATTTTACTTTTTTTCATTTTATTTTAAAATGAAATGAAATTTTTTAATTTTTATTATTTTGTTTTATTTTTCATTTTATTTTAAACATTAAGTTATCTAAAAAGATGACTTAATGATAACTTAACTTTTAAACATTATCTAAAAAGATAACTTAATGTTTAAAATACCAACAATTGAATAGTTAAAATATTCTTAACTATTCTAAACAATTACATGATTATGAGTGAATTAAATTTTTATAATTAAAAAAAATTTAAATCTTTCAGAAATGTGCATTATATAACGATATACAATGCAATATAATCTGTAAATATCTTGATGATTGGGCGATAGCTGTAATGGCAGTTACAGCTATTGCCCAATCATCAAGATAGGCAATTGCGTAATTAAATTCTTTATATGTGTTTAATTAAAATCTTCATATGCTGAATTTCCTTTGTAACTTCTTAATAAATATAGATGTACTTTTAAAAACTAAATTATTAAATTCGTTTTTCCTTAAACGCAAATTTCAAATTTTGCTTCAATTAAGAACTAAGTAAAAGTTTCTTTCTTTTTTTTTCCTCTCCTTATTTTTATACAAAATATTCTTCGAGTGATTTGAGATTCAAAAGTTTAGAGAAATTTTTAAGATTCCGACTCGTGAAAATTTACAACTAAAGCATTAAAAATAATACGGATTTTGATACCGCATTTTCATATCTTTTTAATATATGAACGGCAACTGATGATACAGAAAAACTGCTTTTCCCAAATATTTCCACTTTTGCGCTTTATGAATAATTAATTTAATGTTTCTTTATTTAAAATAATTTCCAACTGAGCTTAAGCGATGGCCTTGGTGCCTAGAAAAGGATAATAAGTTAACTTCAGCCTCTCTTTCTAGATAAATGTTATCTATTCAACAATGAAACATGTTGAAATACGTAAATGAAAGTTAAGATTTCAGACTGAAAAATGCTCTAGTAGTAAGAATCATTTGCATTTTTCCTATTTGAGGCGAGTTGTTTTGTCAATGTAGTTTACTGTATCGGTGCCATCAAAGCCAAACACTCACAAGAAGAAAGCAGTTTTCGATTCGCTTTTCCTTCTTTTTTTACTTTTTCTCTCACGAACTTCCTTAGATACGCTATTTCAGCGACTGGTAAAATAGGCTTAAATTAGTATTTGCATGTTCACACAATTCTTCCGTGTTTGCTTTGAAATAAATAAAATGTCTTAAACCGCCTCATCTTAGATTTTGATGATTTACTAAAACTGTTGCTCCAAATTCTTTTAATTTCATAACTACTATAAAACTGTATAAAAACAAACAGGTATTATATGCTGTAAAGGGCATATCAGATTCTAAATTACACTCTAAATTATTTTTTTTCCTTTGTTTAACTGAGTATGGCAAAGAAAAAGAGGGCTACTTGCCTAAAAAAACGTGTGTCTTCCAGGAGAACTTTTCAAAACGAAACTGGCTCACATAGTACCAAGTTTATTTTAAGAATTATTAACCTCAAGAAGAAATTTTTTGAAACGTGCAAAATAACATATTTTAAAGCATTTTTAAAAAACCTTTTTATTTTTAAACTTGCTAAGAAAGCATCCGTATTCATTTGAAGCTTTCCCATAGTACACCAGCTTCAAAAACAACAAACTGCAGTTGTAGATAATATGCTAAATTGCAGTGAATAAATTTTTGAAGGGACAAAGACTCAGAAATTCCCAAATAGAGATGCAGTGTTAAAGAGTAAGAGAAAAGAAAGAGGCCTTAGAAAACAGCCTCTACCTGATAATTTTTATGATTATATTGAATTTAAAATGGTAAATATGAACCAATATTGTTTTGCACCTTTGGTTTATTTTATATTAATATACCTTTGGTTAATATTATTTTGCACCTTTGGCTTGCTTTGGTATTTTGTAGCTTTGGTTTCTTCACCGTTTTCTAGTATTTAAGTCTTAACTTTCCTTGAGATATAGTAAAATTTAATTCAAATTTTTCTGCTTTTTATATGTTTAGTGTTGTGTTCAAAATTGTGCATGTGTTATATTGCATATGTGTTAGATTTAATGAATTCTATTGTTGAATGTTTTTGCATTATGAACTAATACAAAAAATACTTTTCTAGTCAACCACTTGGCATCCGGGAAAGGATTAATTCATTTTACATTAATTCCTATGAGGAAAATTGTTCCGCGTTACGATTATTTCAGATGACGAACTACCTTCATGAGCGAATTAAGTTCGTGAACCACGGTTTCACTGTATTAATCTGTAAATTTAACTGAGAGAACATGTAGTAAAATATTGGTATTAGTTTTTGTATGTTTATTAATAAAGTTGTGGCGAATACTCAACTTCTAGAATAGTCAGTAGAGAATAAATTTCTTCTGACCTTTGACTTAAGTATCTTCTTTCCAGAAACCAATATTCCACATAATCTAAATTGAACACATAGAGTATCAAATAATTTGTATTACTCCAAGTGGTTCTGATATTGGTTCATATTTACCATTTTTAATTCAATATCATAAGACATCATTAATGATATTAATCATAAGATATCATTAATGCATTTTAAATTACTCAATAAGATGGATCCAGAGTTACCTGCTTAAACTCGATATACCAACAGAATAAATTCAGCTAATCTTTCTTTCGTCAATTTTTCGATCCATTAAACCATTTCTGTAAATATGTTAAATTAATATATAGTTCTAGAACTAAAATTATACTAATTACGTTAAGCAATAATACCATAAAACTCTTTTTGAGCCAGGTTTTGTCAAGTGAATCAAATGTACGTAAAGTTAGGTGGAACAAGCGTAAAATCAGTATAATCCAGAATACACGTAACTGCATATACCATTATAAAATTTAATCATAAACGTCAGGCTTACTCGTATGATGATAAGGTGGACTGTGGGGAAACTGGAAGGAAATCTCGGACAACAAAAATGTGTGAAACTGCTCAAGGTTGAATCTCAGACTCTGAAATAAAACAAATGATTTTGACATAAATGCTAGTCGCAAAAAATACAATGGATGCTTTTTGAAACAAATTAAAAACATTTATTGAGCACAAAAAACTAGGAATATATATAAACATGTAAGGCTTTTATTCCTCTGTTAACAGTTTTTACCTTGTACCTAAGTCCTGTCTATATTTACTTCATTTGATCCCTCCAGAAATATCCGAATGATTGAACAAAATATAATAGATATTATAAAACGGCGGAGGTAAGATTAGTTTGAATAAACGGAAGTTAACACAGACTTTAAAACCTACTGCAGACATCTCGCATAGCTGCCAACAGTGCTTTGAACTATGAATGCAAGCCGCTGTTAATTTTTCACAGAAAATTTAAACCTTCCGTGGTTAGGTCTTTTAGAAATTATTTTACGTTAGGTAAAACTAAAACTCAACCAGTTAGGTTAAAATCGAGGTTTCAATAAAATTCTGTGTCTTACCGTAAATACTCACTGGAAACTACATAGTGTTATTTTCTGCATTTATTGCTACTATTTATAGATCTGCTACTGTTGTTGTTCACAATCCTGGATTTTATAATAACTTTTAGTTTGTTCTAACTTAAAAACTTATAATTTTAGTTTGATTATACAACTATTAGCTGTCTCAGGCAACAGTTTCCCAAAGAATGTAAAATATAGCTGCGAAATATGTTCAGGCGTTCCTTCGAATTTCATAAACATGCAACAAAAAATGATTATGTTAAATTTAAATTCGAAATTTTATTTAATGGTAAGCATGTAATTTAAATATTTAAAATAAGTAAAAAGGGTATTTAGATTTAGAAGATGTTTAACCACATATATTTGCTAAAATTGATATTTCTACTTATAAATGCCACACAAAATCTATATCCCTTATTTATAACATAATATAAACTTCACAATTTATGTAGTACCTTAAGAGTGACTTTCCAAACCAATGCAGACTAGAAAAGATTGAAATTTGGGTCTAGTTAATGTTTTAATTATTATGAATTAGAATTTGTAAATCTTGAAGGCGTGAACTACCGCTGACCTACAAACGTCCAGAATAAAATTATTGTTATCGTCTAAAAGTTTGCAAACGCCGAAAAGCTTTATTTGGTAAAAATGCAAATAATGAGTTATTTCTTATAAATAGAATACAAACGCCGAATAAACATTCAAGTGAATAAAAAGGAGACGCTAAAAAGGAAGGCACTAATTTCTTTCCTTTTTGTCAAGGTAAAATAATATATTCGCTCTCATACTTCCGCTATTATTGAATTTATTACTTTTTCGCTGACTTTGAACAATCCTAAAAATTACAATCATTATATTAAGATTCTGGAGAAATTTTCAGTTGCCTCTTTTTATTTTTATGGAATACAAATATAATTTTCTTAAGTGCATCTTTTAAACAAAGGTTTAATCTAATATACGAGAAAAAATTTTGATCTAATCCTCTTCCTCAAATAAATAGTACAGACAGAAAATTATTGCATTTTATATATGTCAATGATAATTTAGCATACTCAATGTATAGCAGTATCAAAAATTTTTATTTTAAAATAAAATTACCCTAATATTATTTCTATTTCCGCGCAATAATGTTGAGTCAGACTTTGATTGCATTCTTATTCCTTTATATCTTTTGTAATTTTTATATTTCACATATCTGTAGTTTTCACAAATTCTTCTGATTTGGTGACAGTTGGTTGATATTGTTTACATATTTATAGGGAGTTTTGATTTCATTTCTTTCATGTATTTGTGAATCTGGTTCTAAATTTCTTATTTTTTGTCTATAATTGATAAGGTAAAAAATATGTAAATCAAAATTATAACTTAATTTAGCAATAGCCACTTAATTCCTCATTTTAATTTGGTATTCTCTTCTCTATTCTAAAAACAGTAATAACTTTTTCTGGACTGCGTCATTTCTCGAACAATCCATATTTTATGACTTAACTACATAACGATGATGACGCAGCCAATTATGAACTTAAACCGAAACATTTTCTTTCATTAAGTTTCCATGATGAATCCTTAATACCTTCTATATATTCTACATCTCACTTTGCTTCTACTTCTTTCGCTATTCAGACGTTGTCGCGCAGTTTTCTTTCTATATATTCTACATCTCACTTTGGTTCTACTTCTTTTGTTGTTCAGACGCTGTCGCGCAGTTTTCTTTCTATCTCACTTTGCTTATACTTCTTTCGCTGTTCAGACGCTGTCGCGCAGTTTTCTTTCTATCGCAACAACAACATGAAAAATGTAAACGTTTTGAAATAGGCACGATTAGTGCCAAATATATTGTGGCCACAAGTGACAATTGAAATAAAAACGAATATTTAATCTGCCTTGCCTACCAAGTTTGCTCTTCATTATGGATCAACATGTACGCTATCAATGTTTCTACGATGTTACTATATATACATATGTGTATTATAGAGTTTTAAGTTTTAAAAGCAAAAGAATACTATATGAAGCATGGTCAGAAAATGGTTTACTTCATTATGGTAAACTAATAATTAGGTTAACATAAAAATTTTAATTTTCAGAGAGCGAAACATTTCATCAGTCTGAAGAATCGCACGTGTGGAAGAATTAGTGTAAAGTCATCAAATGTATATTTTTAAGAAAACAGAATTTATTCCAGAATTTAACCGAAGCTGGACACGTATAGAGAGGAATAAGAAACTGAATATTTTCAGCTTTTGTCTAAACAAATATCTGGAATATGAATCTTTGAGTTCTTTTTTTCCCCAAACACAGACTGTTTTGTCTTTTTTCGACATTGGCCACTCCTAAAGCCGGAAGTGGTGAACATTTCATTGCGGAGGCACCTAATAGGCGGCCACCGTTACCTCCTATGAAGGGACAGGCAGTTACAACCCTGCTTTCTGCAGGATTCGAACGCGGGTCCTTCGGTATCGTAGTCGGCTCCCTAAGCACTATACGATCTAGGCGGCAAGCATCTTTGAGTGGAGTATAAAAAAATGCTACTGCAAATTTTTTGCACAGATGGAACAACTAGTTCGAGCTTCAGCTCTCTTCTTACGTTAAGGCTCGCTTGATATGACTATGCCGCACTAGACCGTTCCATAACGGTGCCCCGTATTAAAGTCCCGGCACTTTTATGCAAATCAGCTATAGCTCACCAAGACAGAAAGAAGCCTTCACACGGGTTCCCTGATATGAAGGTGATGTAAACTTCGATAAAGTTGCCACCACTTTTGTACTGGGGCGCCGTTTTTGAAGTAAGGTTTCAGTTTGTTACACTGGTTTCCAAAGCAAAAGAGAATCCTATCTGGATGGCAATGTCTCGGGATAGAATTTCCATCACGAATGATGTTATTTTCAAGTTCAAAACTGCTCCTCATATAAATGTAGAGCACCTTTACGCAGGAACATTCTTGAAAAGGTTTCTGTCTTGACAAACGATGGCCGACTTGCATAAAGGCGCTGCAACCTTAATGACGATGCACAATAATGAAGTCGTTAGATACCAGAAGCCCTTACTACTGCCTATCCCCAAAGGTCAATACTAGGGCACTAGACTGTAGAGGTCTCCAAATCATTTCATAATTTCTTATAATTCTATTTTTTTTTCATAAAAACAATACAAATTAGCACTGGGCTCATGAATGTATGCTGTCATCTGGGATATATCCAAGTAAGGAATTAAGTGGTCAAGTAAATTTGAAGTCTACTACACATTCTTATCGCATCGTTTTGAAGAAAACATCTAAAAAATCAAATTTTTTACGAACTTTAAATTAAATTCGAGACGACTAAATAAACTTCACGATCACCAAAGCATGTTTAGTCTCGAATTGATCGATAGTTAAAAAAAAAGAATGCAGTCTTTCCTTTGAATTAAATAAGTAACTATTTCATCGATTTCTTGAGAAATTAAGTTCTATGAATTCTGTTATTAAAGAATAATTTTTTTTTTCAATAAATATCATGAAATAACCGTTTTCTTGGAAACTAAGCAAGAATGTGAAATATTGCGTTATCTCATTTTTTTTAGAATGCTACGTTTAATGATCATTTTTAATTTTTTTGCTGTCTTTAAAACTGCACCGCGTAGGAGATATTATACAAAAAGATTTCGAAATGGCTACCCTTCCCCCCCCCGATATTTTCATTCCAAAATCGCATATGGAGTAGAGTATTTAAACACAGATTTATTTAGAAAGCTGTTACTACTACTGAAGAACTATTAATATTTTCAGTTCAAAATGAAATGATCAGATAGATGTGAAATCGAGCTCAAGTACGGCAAAAGAATAATTAATTTCGCTTTAATTAAATCCATAATTACCTTGATTGAGCAAGAAATACAGTAGCTCTTTAAAAAATACTTTACTTAACAGTGCAAGGAATAACCACATTCCCCTGTGTGTCTTCTTGTGATGTAAGCGGTTAGTAGATTGGAAGATCTGTGGATCGAACCGCCCCGAAAAGCATTCTTAATTTTTCATGTTTCCTGCACCGAAAAGCCTAATACCATTTATAGTGGTGCCCGAACTCAAAAGACCTACGATAACTTGATTTTGTCGCCTGTTTCTCGCGCCCCTTCCCAGTCGTTCTGTAGATAAAGGAGAATACAAGATACATTCGCATTCCCTCTTCCGCTCTTATGATGTCAGTAGTTACTAGTATAACCAGTTAGTGAATTGGAAGATCCACGTTTCGAGTCCTGTCAGGGTGTAGTTGATATTTCATATTTTCCGCACCGAAAAACCTCTAAAATAGTCTCTAAAATTGTAACTTTGATTAAAAACCGCAAACAAATAAGGTATTTTAAAGGCAAATAATTTAAGTAAGTTGTAATACCTTTTCTACCATCCTTTATAAAAGATTGCAGAAACATACTTCTAAAATTATTGGAAACTACCAATGTGGTTTCCAGATAGGAAAAACAACAATTCATCAACAAGAACCAAGACAACCACTCTACCAAAGACAAATTTTGGAACAAACAA